TGCACCAGTTCTGCTGTGCTAATCCAGCCCATGTTCTTTTTAAGCACAAATATCAAAATGTCTCTTGACAAATGAGATGTGAAATGAATGAGTTTTGCACATAAACTTTTAGTGCAAATGTGTATTTGGCTGTGTTGGGCACCTATGGGGCACAGGAAGGGTTTTCTTTTTTTTTTTTTTAATAATTTTTTTATTGTTATGTTAACCACCATACATTACATCATTAGTTTTTGATGCAGTGTTCCATGATTCATTGTTTGTGCATAACACCCAGTGCTCCACGCAGAATGTGCCCTCTTTAATACCCATCACCAGGCTAACCCATCCCCCCACCCCCCTCCCCTCTAGAACCCTCAGTTTGTTTTCAGAGTCCATCGTCTCTAATGGTTCGTCTCCCCCTCTGACTTACTCCCCTTCATTCTTCCCCACAGGAAGGGTTTTCTGGCCTGGCTGGGCAGTAGCTAAAGGGTAGAGATTCAAGTCAGTTCCCCCTCGGCCCCCCGCCCCTTTCCTGGCATTACCAAAGTAGCTTGCTTGAAAAATGGAGGAACACAGTGTTGTCTGGGACTTCTTCTGACTTTCTTCCAGGAGCAGTTGCTTAACCGGTGACTATCTGGGGAGGTGGGCTGGGATCACCCCTGAAGCTGCCATTCTGAAACAGCCAGAGTGTCCACTTGACCCAGGCCTGGAATGGCCTTTTTAACTAGAAACTCAGCTTTGGGTTTGTCTTGGAGTTGGGGTGGGGTGGAATCCATCTTCCTCCCTCTGAGAGTTGGGTTATTCCCTTTATGTGCCCCAGATCCTCCATCCACCTTTCTCCATTCCACTCTGAGCCCCTGGGCACTGGTGCCCCTCGGCTGCATCAGCCGGTGTCCTAGCCTGAGGCTGTCAGGAGGGTTTGGCCAGTGGGAGGCCCGGGCAGGAACTGGAGGGCAGGAGGAAAGTGAGGTCCTTGCTGGGCCATTCTACCAAGGCTCCACTGCATCTGGCTAGCCCCTCTGGGTTATACTAATTGCTTCCCCTTTGCCCCTTCAGGCCAGGGGTGCTAATGGTTCCCACTGCTCCTGGCCCTGCGACTGGTACTTGTCCTTTGTTTGCTGCCCTTTGCCCTGTCCACACCTTCAAAAACTACTCTCGCCGCCTCTCCCCGTTGACCCTGTTTGAAGGTGCCATTTGCTTTGCCAGCACCCTGACTGATAAGCTCTGTCAACACCCCGTGCTTGTTAACCAGGTGGCAGCAGTCCTTGTTGGTCCCCTGTCCTCTAGGCTGCTGAGAACTGTGAGCAGGGGAGGCCAAGCCTGAGGTCACGGTCTCAAGCTCCCTGTCTGGCTCACGCTGCTGGCAGCTCTGGGCAATTGGCTGGCCTGCTGCATCCCAGGGAGGCTCAGCAGGACTGCACACTGCGCAACAACACAACCCTGCAGAAAGGTGGTCAATGCCTAGCACCCAAAACACCGTCCTCAGGCTTTGTCCCACCGGCAGCCCCAAACTCGGGTGGCCTTGGGTGGTGGGCAGGATGGGACACATAGGACAACATGGGTCCCCTCCTTGGGATCAAGGCCATTTGGCTATGTTTATGGATTAGAAGTCAGCTCATACACTTCGCCATGCCCACAGTGGGACACAGAGCTACCCACAGCACCATGACTCTCCCAAGACCTTCTCCTGGAGATGGGAAGATGCAGGCTTTCTGGTCTTTTGGCAGAAGGTCCACCTTCTGACCTTCCAAATGGGAGCTGGAAAGAAACTTGGGGTTCTTTCTGAGATGTGTCTACATGGTTCCTGGCCTGTTTAGGAGCTGGCAACGGATTTGGGGTGACAGAGACATTAAGGGCCACCATACCCCCTTCCTGGTGGCACTGCCCTATCAGCTCTGATGGGATCCCACCTGGCTGTGTTTTCTGGAGGGAAATGCGCACTACAAGCCACTCCATGGGAGGGCAGAGGAGCCCCCAGCCTGGGCTATGTCGGCATTAAAATGCTGCCCTGTGGCTGGCAAGTGCCCAAGGCCTCACCTGCTGGGAGGTCCTGGGCACTAAGCCGTCAGAACTGAATTGACATGAGGACCTCTAGATCTTCCAGAAAGGGCACTGTTTGTGCTACCCTCCACAGAGGGGTCCCTGTTGTGGGGATGAGTTACCCTGGAGCCCCTTGTGGCCAGCCCAGAGACTGGATATCTGACCAGCCATGCCAGGCACAGTCAGATCAGCCTTGGTTGGGCTCAGGGTGTCAAGGTTCTAGCCAGGAGGAGAGGGAGATTCCAGAAGGAATGAGCTTGTGGCCTTGGTCTCATTAATACCTTTTGTGAACACTACCAAGTTCATTCTCAAAGATCTCTTTCATATGATGCTTCCTTGATCAAAGCCTTTAACGGTTCCCATTGGATCCACTTGGCATTCAAGGCCCTCAGCAGCTTGGCCTCCAAATGCCAAGCATTCAGCTTTATCTCCCCGATCCCCTGTTCTCTGGCCAGAGCAGGTAATGGTCACGGTGATAATAATGAACATTTACATAGAAATTTCCACACTGAGCTCCGTCTGAGGTCAGGGATTCCCATTCTATTTTACAGATGAGGACATACTTTCCGAGATGTTAGGCCACTTGCTTAAGTCATACAGCCAATAAGTACTGGAAGCATAACTCACATCCGGCCCTGCCTTCTGAATCCTCTGCTTGGCCATTCTACTCATGGTCTGTGGAACATCCCAGAGGAATGTTCCAGCCTGAGACACTTGCTGGGGCCCAAGGGCATGGAGCAGGTTTTTTTTTCCCACCAATCCAACTAAGCCAATCGCTCTACAAGTCAATAAACACTTTTCCAGTACACCTGTGAACTAGACGGAGATGGCTAACTCCCCCCAAGATTTATGCTCCCCTTGTGCTGAGAAGAGATGAGACATGAGGTCGGAAAGCAGCTGCCTAGCCGAGGGCTACATTTTCCAGCCTTTTCCAGCCAACAAACAGCCTACGTTTGTTGCACCACGTGACTGAGTTCTGGCTAAAAGGTGAGGGTAGAAGTAATCTTTACCACCTGTAGGCCTGGGTCTTAAACTCTTGCCTTGCCCTTGTCTACACCAGCTTTCCTCTGAGAGAATTCACCCCTACGAAAATGATTTCAGTGGCCGTTCTCTCAGTCTCCCAAGAACGATGCAAACTTAGAACCATTCCAAATGTACAAGATAGAAGTCAATTCATTATATACAACATATGCCTTAGAGCACTAGGCTTGCTTTTCTCAGGGAACTGGATTGAGAAGGGTTGCTTCCGCTCACTCTGGTCTGCTGGCTGTATGTTAATGCCCGGAGTGACCATGGCAGCCACTTGTTGAAGATGGGAGAGTGTATGTCAGCCTGGGTCCCTGAATGAGTTCGCAGCACAGAACCTCTCCCTCCCCCACCCCACCCCTCCCCCACTCCGGAGCAGGATGAGATGTGAACCAGAAATAATACATCTGAACTGTGTTAACCACTGGCATTTCCGGGCTTATTTGTCACAGCAGCTAGTGTCATCTTACACTCATACAGGGGATAGAAAATTCCAAGTCAGGTGGGGAAGGCCGGGGCTGTTTGGGGAGAGGCCCTCCACAGGTCTCAGCTCGCCCACCTTCTCCCACAGCCTGGGGGAAAGTCTTGTGGGGGGCTGTGTGGAGCCTAAGACCCAGCCAAGACCCAGAAGCCTGAGCGGCACAGAGAGGCCCCCAAAGGGCGGTGGAGCCGAACGAGAAACAACTGAACTGACACAAAGACAGACGGGTAGGGTCTCAACTGTCGGAAGGCTTCAGAACCAGCCAGGGAGACAGGCTGGCATGCCTGTCACCTCTGATTCAGCAGGAGAGCCCAGGAGCCTGCATCCTTAACAAGCTCTATGCTGGTGGTGAGTGGCCTGCACTTTGAGAAGCATGAGCTTAGGGCATGGCAGCCTGCTCCATCCCACAGGGACATTTATATGCCACTGTCAAGGAACCCAGCTGTCTGGTGCTTCAAAGCCAGGAGAGACGCTCTCTCTGGGACTGTGCACCAAACAAGTCTGGGGGTGGGGTTCAGAGAGGGAGTCACTGGCTTAAAATCAGACACAGGGAGAGATGGCTGGAGTTGGACCCATCTCTGATGCCCACCTTTGAGTGGGCAGAGGAAGTGGGGGATGCCTTGGGGAGGGACACTCCCTGTAGTAGGCCTTTCTACCCTCCATAAACCCCCACTACCGCCAAGCAGCCCCTCCTGTCCCAGAGCTGCCTGCCCTGGCAGTCAGTCTGTCTTCCTTTCTGCTCTCTGACTCCCCTCTCCCGGCCCCCCTCCCATCTTCCCCAGCCCTTTCAGCTCCCTAGGAAAGCAGGTCTTAACCTCTGGGTGCCCTCCTAGCAATGACAAGGCTCTATCCTCACTCCCCCATTCCCCAAAAGGTCCCAAAGGGGATTATTTATAGCAGAACCTGTGCCTAGGCCCAATCGGGACTTAGCCAAAGAGAGCAGAGGCTACAGAGCCAGGCCTACCCACCCACGCAGCCTTGGACAAAGTCTGTTTGTTCGATCAGTCAGTCAATCAGCATCCAGACGCTCACTGCCTGAGTTGTAACCACCTCCTCCCACTCCGGGGGCTAATGTCCTACGGGCTTCAGGAGAAAAGAGTCCAGTTCTCCAAACCTAAGAGAGGGCTCCCCACACTGCAGCCGCGGGTGTACCGGGAGATCAGGCAGGGCGGCCCCACGCCCTTCATAAATACACGTCTTAAATGCTTCCGAGCAACCAGCAATAACCAGCAAACAGCAGGAAGAGCGCAAGCCCAAATGAGGCTGCGGAAAACTTGCCCCAGGAGCACCCAAGTGAACTACCAACCACCAGGCAAACGCAAAATCCAGAGCCGGGCCGCCCCTCTGGCCAGAACCGCCCCCCCCCCCCCCCCCCCCCGGCTCCCGGCCCCGGCCCCGCCCCGCCTCCGGCCCCGTCCACAGCCCCGTCCGCAGCCCCCGCGCAAGCACGCCCCCTCGCGGCACCCGCCCTTACCTGAGCCGTGCCTCTGGCGAAGAAGGACCGCCTGGCCCAGTGGCGGCGACGCTGACGAAGCAGCCGCCGCGGCCGCGACGGTGGTGGTGGCTGCGTGGGCCGCGGAGGCAGCTGCCGCCTCGGGGCCTCCAGGACCTGGGGCGGCGGCGGGGCGCCCCGGAGCCGGGCTTTTGTCGGAGGTGGGGCGGCCCGCGGTGCCGGTGGCACCCACTTTGTTGGCGTTGGCGGCGCTGGCTGGGCCGTGGCGACGCGGACCGCTGCTCTGAATGTGGGACACGGCCTCGGCGGCCTGCATGTTGGGCGGCGCAAAGCGCGAGAGCACGCGCAGCAGCGCCTGGGCCTTGTGCTCCTGCGTGTCGTCGGCGCTGTAGTCCGACACGCGGCATTCGTACACGCCCTCGTCCTGCAGCCGCACGGCCGACAGCCGTAGTCGGTGCGAGATGTCATTGCCCTGGACGCGCACGGTCTGCAAGAGAGCGGGGGCCGGGGTCAGAGGCCCGGGTGCGCGGGCCTGCGCTCTCTGCCCGCGCGATGCAGCCGCGCCCACCTCTGCCTCTGCGCCCTCATGCCGCAGCACCCCAACACCTCTCGGACGCAGGTTGGCCCCTGGCGACTCAGTTTTTCTTTCATTCCGTGTCTCCCCTGTGGCATGGGGCTCCCAACCCTGATTGGACCCTGGATGGCCCTACCCTCTGCGTCCCCATCATTTCAAGTGAATGCATCATGTTGCATCCCCTGGCCAAGCTATGCTTCTGTCCATCAGACCTGCAGAACCTAACCCTCCTTCCTTCCTTCTGCACCTCGCAGAAGTCCAGGCTCGGCCTCCTGTCGCTAACCACCCGCGTCTTTGCCGCCCGGCCTTAAGCCCAGCCCTCCACATCTACTCCCACCAACGTTCCTTTCTTTACTCTGGAATCCAGAGGGCCTGGGTAGTGCCTGAAGGACAGCCACTCTGCTCGCAAGAGTACACATCAATACCTGCCTACCCCTCCCCCCTGCCCAGCCCTTCACAGCTAACACTCCGCCCTCTCGCGGGGGCAGGCCACGCTGACGCTGCTGCTGGGCTCCCTGGGCTCAGCTACTTCTCAGTCCGCCTCAGCCTGAAGCTCCCTACAAGCGCGCCTCCCCGGCGGCCTGGAGGACACGCTGGCACGCCACAGCTTTGGGGCCCTCACCTCGGAACCGAGCGCACGATGAGGCCCCAGTGGTCTCCAGGCCCTGATATTTCCACGCTCCAGCTAGGAGAACTTGGGCGCATTTCCTCCTTGAGTTACAGATCCCAAGACCCCGGCCCCTCGCAGCCCCCCCAACCCCCACCCCACACCTTCCCCCACAACGAGCCCACAGAACCCGGCCCTGGGACCCGAAATCCAGGCGGAGGAGAGGGAGGTGGAGGGCGCCACCTGGGCGCTCCAGTGTGTGTGTGTCGCGCGGGGTGGGTGGGCGGGGAGGCCCACCAGTCGGCTAACGGGTCACCGCCAGCGCGAGGAGCGGCGCGCTCCAGTTGCTGGGAGACAAGCCAGCAGAGGAGACGCAAACCGATGCGCAGGGGCCTGAACGCGCCGGCCGGACGAAGGAGAGTTTTACAGGTGAGCGCCGCTCGGAAGAGGGAAATTCAGGCCTTGGGACCCCTGATTTACACAAAAACGAACCCGATTCCGCTAGCGGCGACAGATGGCGCCCCGACATGCCAAGCAGCCGACAACGCAAGGCTGCGAGCACGGCCCTACAGAGCGCGGCCGCTGAGCCTTTCTAAAAAGGAGGAAAATGTGGGGCGCGAAGCGGCCAGAAGGGGTCTCCCGCGGCCCGTGCTGGGCTCCACACTTACGCTGATTTTAGTTGCATCCTTATTTGTTACCTAAAATGCAAAGAGGGAGAGAGACACATTAGGCTCTCGGCCTTCAGGCTCCGGGAACTCAGATGCGCCTCCGGCAAGGGGACTCTGCGGGCGAGCTAGGACTCGAAACCTCTCGGGATGTGGCCCTGCTGAAGTCGCGAAGGACATCAGGATTTCCTGGAGTTTTTTACCCGGAAGGAAGCAGGGCTTGGAGCTAGCACGGTGCCTGGCCAAGGAGGGGCTGCCCTAGCACACCTGCTGGCCACAGAGGAAAGGCTGGATTGCCACCAGGGTGGGAAGAAAGGCTCGTCTCGTCTCCCTCCCCGGAGCATCCTCATTCCCTGCCGTGTTTCTCTAAACCCCGTGGAAAGCTGGATGGAGGGGCCGGTGTATCTGGACAGGACGCAGAGGGAGACGTGAGCAGTAACTCTGGGTGGGACCCTGGGTAGAGGGTAGGTGTCGCTAACCTAAGTGTGTGTGTTAGAGTGTATGGGAGAGACTGGTGTAAGAGGCAGACAGACAGTGGGGGCCTTCCCTCCGATCTTGTGGGGGTTGGAGGTGCACTGCGGGCCTCTGGAACCCAGCCCAGAGGAGCTTAGCTCCTTGGCCCTGTGCCCTGGGGACCTCGGAGTAGCAGAAGGCAGGGAAAGCCTGGCCCTACTAAGTGGTCTCCCTTGACCACCCAGCACCCATCTGACTCTGGGGCCGGCAGCCAGCAAGCAAGAGCAGGCGAACTGGATGAGGTGTTGCTTTGTAGGGGCCAGGCGGCAGTCCCGGAGGTTTTAAGGGAAAGAAGAGAGGAGGGATTACGAGGATTTGTGCTGCTGTTGAAGATGTTGTGGGAATGGGGACTGTGGGAGATGGGCTGCTCCACAGGGCGGCGCCCTGCCTTCCTTGCCCGGCTTATCCCAGCCGCCCCGGCCTGAGCCCGGTGAGCGCCGGCGCCGCGCAGGCGGCGGGTTACCTTGCTCCGGGCGCCGGGCACGCTGAGCGCCAGCTCGTGCAGCAGCTCCCGGGGCGGCTCCTTGAGGTACCACCACTGAATCTCCAGCGAATACGAGGTGGCTCCGCTAGCCCGGAACGCGCAGGGCATTTCGATGTCGTCTCCCTCCCGTACTGTCACATCTTTGGGGACTTCGGTAAATGTAGCTGGGGGCGGGGAAGAGAGAGGCGTGACCAACTGTGGGGCGGGGGCCTGGGGCAACCCTAGGCAAGACGGGGCGTCCCCAGCTCGCTGGCCTTGTGCTTGCCACCCCAGAGCCACAAGCGTGGCCCAGGCGCTAGCAAAGTTCGATCGAACAGCTGCCCGGCCCCAGCAGAGACCGGCTACCGCTGCAGGCTGCTTCCCTCCGGATCGGGCGGGGCAGCAGGGGCAGCTTAGGCTTCTTACCCCGCGCCCAGCCTCACTGCCAGAGCCAGGCTGGGGCGCGCCAACTCCCGCGCCCCGAAAGCCACCTCTCCGCCGGAGCACCTGTCCGGCTTCAAATGACCCCGGCGCGGGCTCTGCCGCGGCGGCGACCCTTCGCTTCTCTCCTCCCCCTACCCCTCTGGGCCTGGGCTGCACACCGGGATTGCTGGAGACCGTGAAGCCTTCCCCTTCTCTTCCTCCTCCGGCTCCTTGGCGACAGGGACAGGGTGGCTCTGGCGGCCCCGGCAAGGACCCCCGAGCCCCCCGCGGCAACAAAGTTCCCGCGCTCACCGTCGGCCACGAAGAGCAGCAGGGCGTGCAGCAGCAGCGGCGGCAGGTATCCGAGGGCGCCGAGCCGGTTCCGCTGTTCCATCTCCCGCGGGGGGCGCGGCGGCGGCAGGGGCCCGGGCGCGGAGAGGCAGCGGTGGCGGCAGCGTGGGCTCGGATCCGGCTCCGGCTCCGGCTAGGACGCCTCCGAGCCTGCCATGGCCCCGCGCGGCGCCCCCTCCCCCCGCCGGCGGCCGCCAATCAGTCCCGCTCCCTCGCCGGCTTGCCGGGCGCGGCTCCGGCGGGGGGCGCTGCGCAGGGGGCGCAGGATGCGAGGTCCCGCAGGGAGGCTACTGCTGATCTGTCCGTGCTTCCCTCTCTCGGGCGGTCCACAGGACGATGGGGTACCTCAATTCAGTCTCTGCCTGGCGGGGCCGGGCAGAGGCTGGGCCGCCCCGGGACCCATCCCTGGCCAAGGGAGTGCGCGCCTCAGAGCCGCGAGCTTCTGCTTCCCGGTCTCCTTCTGGTTTGGCTCCCGAATGCCACCTCCTCCGGCTCCCGCCGAGCTCTCCCGCCGCCGCCCCCGCTAGTGCCTCCACGGCTCTTTCCGCAAGGCGAGTGGGCGCTCAGCCGCGGCGCGCAGCCCTGGCGTCCGACCCAGTGCAGCGCGGGGAGAGCGGGTCCAGCGTGGCGGACCCAGAGCCGGACCGAGGCGGGGAGAGGGGGAGGGGAAGGGGAGAGGGAGGGGGCGGTCAGTGGCTGGGCGCGGAGCCGCCTCCACCGCTGCATCACCCCCGCCCTCCCCTCCCCTTCCACAGCCGGCACCGCCCCCGCCCCGGAGCGCGCCCCCCCCCCCACGGGGGTCGCTTGGAGGCACCACAGTCTCTGTGGTTGGAGCGCAGCCCCGCCCGCACCTGCTTTGGCTGGGGGTCCTCCCACCCAAACTCTCCCTGGCTTCTCCCCAATCTTCCTCGCCCGAGACGGCCGCTTATCCCTGCACCCCGCGTGCCCCGCGGCCCTCTCCGCAGACCCCCGCCCTCAACTCCTTACCCCAGTTTGGGCAAAGAGCTGCACCGCTCTTTGTCCCAGGCCCAGGCCATGGCTGGTGGGTGGGCCCCGGGGCCCGGGGAGAAGGGCGGAGCGCTGTGCTGGGCTGGGGACGAGGCCGGGTGACGGAGGCGACGCCAGGAGTCTGCAGTGTGCGAGCGAGAAGTGAGCGCAGAGCGCCCGGCAAGCAGGTGCCTGTGGCGCGGAGAGCGCACGAGCGAGCCAGCGAGCAGCGGCCGTGAGTGACGGCAGAGGCGGCGGGGGGGGGGGGGGGGGGGAGCGCCCAGCACGACTCAGGGATCGGGAGGTTTCCGAGCGGGGGTGGGGTTCCTGCACCTCAGTCGTTGTCCCCTGCGTCCCCACTCCTTCCTCGCCGGCCGCGGCCCTCTCTTTACCGGGTGCAAGGCCGGGGGAATCCCCAGGCGGCAAGAGGTCGGGTCCACGACCGCTTTCCGGAGCCCATCCCCCTCCCCTGCATCCCCCGAATCCCTGAACCTCTCCCAGCCTTCACCAGGAGCTTGTCCCTCCCCAGCTCTCTGCGGGAGTGCAGTCTGGCCCCCAAAGGGGAACGTGGGGCCGGCTTGTGTTCCAATGGGCACACAGCTGTAGGGGCAAGTCCCACAGCTGGGCTTGGGTCTCTCTTGCTTCCCTTCCCACGGGAGACCGGAATAGCGGATTTCAGTTTATCGGTCCCTATCTTCTTGGCCCTAACCTCTCAGCTCAGTCCTACAGGAGGGGGTGAGAGGACCCCCCCGCCTCCGCGGGTTGACGGTTGACATGTCTGTTTCCCAGGCTTAGCTTGCCAGCTTCCTGGAGGCACCACCAGAGTGTTCTGGGGAGAGCCAGGGAGAAGGAAACCCAGAGGGCAGATACTTCCCAGCAGCAGACCTGGTCATGCTGCCCAGGGCACACCCTCGCTGGGGAAGTAGCTTCAGTCCTTTCCTAAGCTTTGTTCTTACCAATAGGATGCCCCTGGACAGTGTGCCCTTTGCCCTTCCTGGGCCTGGCTTCCAGGATCCTCATCTGTGACCAAGGAGTCATTCCGACCCCCTCAGGCCACTGCTGCTCAGCTAGGGAGCCCTTGTTTGCCAACGTCTGTGGCTGGGAAGGGACGAACGTCTAGGGCCTTCCTCTTCTTTCTGTTGTTTCTCTCTAGGGACCCTAACCCAAGGAGGCAGTTGCTAGCTGTCTTCTGTCATTTCATCCCCAGAGGGCCAGAAGCCTTCCTGGAGAAACTGCCCTGGGCTGCTGAATGGCAGACCCTCCAGGCCCCACTGCTGTCCTCCGCTTCTGAAGGGAGGGGGCAGACTTGCACTGTGCTACGGAGATTCAGGACCTTGACAGGATTCTAGGAAAGCAGATTCATTTGGGGACTGATTCCAGGCAGGGCTCTGATGGCAAGAGCTAGCCCACTGTGCAGTGTCCGGCTTGGAGAGGCAGCAATTTCCTGTCCAGACACCAGATCCAAGCAGAGATGAATGGCCAGTGATCAGGGACACACAAGGGGAGAATTCCCATAGCTGGAGGGTGTTACACCTTGGTCACCCGTAAAATCTGTGAGTCTTCTAAACCTGAACCACTTTGTGAGGTAAGGTGTATCTTGCCCACTTCGTGAGTTGGTGTTATTATTAATGAGAATGATGGCTATATTCTTTCATGTGCTTTTCATGGATCAGGCACTGGGTATACACATTCCGTGCATTAGTTCGCACCATGACAATCAAGTCACCCTTCTCAAACAGAAATCAGACCACTCTTTCTCTGCTCAGAACCCTGCAGTGGCTTCTTTTCCACTCAGGATAAACACCAGAGGCCTTGTAATGTCTGACAAGGTCAAACTATCTGCCTTTGTCTTCCACTCCATTGTTCCATCATCTTGTGTTTTCTGTCCTTTCCCTGATCACTATTTGTAGCCACACTGGTTTCCTTCCTACAGTGCAACACACTGTGGTCCCACCCCAGGGCATTTGCACCAGCTATATCATTTGATACAGGGGGATCATTTGATACAGAAGGATGCTCCTTCCCCATACCTGGTTCATAAACTTTGTCATGTTCTTCTGGCTTTAGTTAAGAAGTCGCCTTCTCAACGAGGATCCTGGGACCCCGTTTTTATAGTGTAGTCTGCACGCTGTCTTCCCCAGCACTCCCCTTACCCTGCTCTCCGTTTTTCTCCTTCCCTTAGTACTAACTGCCTTCCAACATATGGTACAATATCCTTATTTATTATTTCTTGTTTGTGGCCTGTAGTCTCTACTAGGATGGGGCTCTTTCACTGCTTTGCTCACTAACATATCTCTGACCCCTAGACAGGGTCTGGCGTAGAGTAAACTAAATAAATATTTGTGGAGTGAATGGATGAGCTCATGTAACCCTTATAATAACCCTATGGGGTAGACACTGTGATTTCACTGCATTTTAGAGATGTTGTGGCCGAAGCTCAGAGAGCTTAAGGAACTAGCCCCAGGTCACGCAGCTAATAAGTGGCAGAGTAAAGCTTTAGCCCACGTGTGTCTTAGTCTGGGGTCCTAATTCTTAACCAAAACACTCAAATTTTCCCTACTCCAGGTGACACTCTGGTCTCTGTACCTGCAGTAGGTATTGAGAGCAGGGCCCCTCTGCCCTTGGTTGATGGCAGCCTGAACCTGCCTTGCAGCTTCTTCCCTGCTTGTTGAAAGGTGCACAAGAGTTCTGTGTCTAGGGGGTCTGTTTCCTCTTCTGTCCCCTCTCGCAGACCGTGAGGGCAGCAGCTGTGCTTTTACTCTCTGTGTCTTTAACTCCCAGCTAGGCCAGCCCTTGCTTAGGCTCAGTAAAAGTTGCAACTAGGAGAGCTTTAGTTGTGGCAGGAAGGGGCGCTTTCCCTCTTCCTCCCCTTTCTGCAGGGGAGCTCATTCCTTCTCGCTGTGTCAAGATGTGGGACAAAGCCTCAGTTGGAGGCTCTAAAGAAGGCATCTGTGATGGAGCATGTGTGTGGTTTCTCTGGTTCCTTTTTCAAAAGGAAACCTCTCTCTGGGGACACAGTCACTCACCCCACTCACCCGTAGCAACTGCCAGTGTCCCTTGGGTTCCCACAAAGATGCCCTGTTTAGAGGAAATGTTGGTCGTGTGACGTGAGGCTGGTTTCCCACTGATGGACTTTTGAGAGCATTTCAGAATGGTGGCGTCTCTGATCCTGAACATTCATCAGTAGATAGTAACAGACACCCTTTGGACCACAGGGTTTTTCTTTCCCTCTCTTCATTCACAGGCTCCAAAATGCCTACAGGATCACAGTGTATAGGGACCTGGAGGTGGGTCGTCCTGTGATGTGATCACTTGGCCCTCCATGAACTGGACCCACCCATGCTGGGTGCTCGCCGGTGGCCACCCTTGTGATGTCATTCTGCGCTGCTGTGATCAGGCTGCCCATTGGGGTATGCAGCGCTTGTCAATACCATTCTGTGGGTGGATTCACTAGACTCTCAGAGGCACTTCAAAAAGCACTATTTAAAAACACTGCCTAGCCTTTTGTGAAAGTACCCTTAAATTACAGCCCTAAGTGAATGTGTTTCCTGGAACTCACTTTCAAAATTTATTTATTTTAATGCTCAGGTCCTCTTGGAGTTTAGGTTTCGATATTCTTGTCTCGGCTGACCTTTCCTGTCCTCCCCATACCACGTACAGCAACATTGATTTTGGATAATGTATTTTGATTTTAAGATGCAGCCCATCCATAAACTTTTCTATCAATGATCCCGGCACACTCTGTGTACCCGACAGCTTAAAGGGAAATACCAGATTTATGGGGGCTTTTATTTTTGGCCAATTTAGTCATTCGCTGGCCATCACTGTCAGGGATAAAGGCCTGAAGTCCGGCCCCAGGACTACTCCCCTCCAAGGGCAAACATCAGGTCAGCTTCTCCAGATGCAGGTGGCAGAGTGTGGCCCTCTCTGTGCCCTGGCTGCCCCTAAGACATGGAGGAAGGCAAGTGGAAAAGCTCAGTCTGGGTTCCTGTTGTCCTTCTCTCCCCCACCCCTTCCAGGAGGATGACAGCGGGGCTTCGGCCCCTGCATCGTAGGGAGACAAAAGAGGGCCCTCCGCTTGCTCGCACCGTACCTCAGGGCCATCGGGGAGGTGGGCCTGCCCTTGCCCCCGCCCCTG